ACACACACACACACACACTAAAAACATTGCATATAATATTATCGTATATAATGTTAATAATATATTTTGAACTTTTAACAATCTTATCCTTAAATATACAAACATGATTTTCAAACTTCTTTAATAAGTGATAAAAAGTACCTTGGTTTTCAAATAAAAAAAGATTAATATTTAACAATGTTACAATCTTGTGTGAGTCTTATGAAGTCTGAAATAAATTGATCTATATAGGTAACTATCATCTTATAACAAAGGGACTGACTTCTGTATCAAAAGAAAAAGGGAGGATAGACTTCTGAAAAATATTTGAGATGAACAGTGAGATATCAGGCATCTGCATAAAAGCATAAATCAAGGATGACAAATCAGACAGCAACTTTTCTATAATTTTATCAGTCGAATTAATGATTGGTTAAGTTAATTCTTATGTCTATTTCAATATAGATGAATGTTAATATTAATTTAGTAGCTTCTTATCTTCTTCTATTTCTAAGAATTAGAAGACAAATAAATTAAATCAAAATTTAGGAGAGAAATGGATCTGTGTCCATTTCTACCAATGTAAATTAATTTTAATCTTGCAGTTTAACAAAATTTTATCTCTTTCTAATTCTGATATCTATTTCCAATTAGAACTAGAAAAATTAGATAAAAAGTAAGTCAAACAGAAGATTAAAGCTAATCTACATAGGTAAAAATGGAAATTATTCATGACATGATGTAGACATGAGAACGGGCTTTTGAAGTGCCACAAATTTCATTCCAAGCAGGTCTCAAGAAGACAGTTGCTTCAGTCCAACCTTACAACAAGATTACATCATATTTTTATGCAATCCACCTGAAACGGATAATTGACACATTATAATTTGCACGATAACGCGAGGTAATCCTGCCCACGGCCCACAATAACAATCGATCGCGCTTTAATATAGCAATTTATCAGCTTTCCGTGATCGTTCCAAATCAACGTGAAACGCCGTCGACACGGCGAAACATGAGCGACAATCTCGGAGAATATCTCAGCCGAAATCACATATTCGCGGTCGGATCAAAATATTTCCGCCGCCGTACTTTTGTATCCGTATCCTCTGTGAAACTCACTTGTAGTTTTTAAATATCTCGTTCGTAACCTCGCAGTGATACACCTCGTCGTCGTCCCTAAAGTCCGAGGAGACGTGAAGCCGCTGAAACGGCTGTTTGCGTAGCAGCGGCATTTCGACGGTGACGATGACCGCGACAATTCTCTCCTCCTCTTTCTTCTCTTCTTCTTCCACCGCTTTCTCGACGCGCTGAGATCAAAGATCGGTGTCGACGATGTCGTGAACGCACGGACTTACGCTTTCTTCTCCTCTTTCTTTTTCACTCTCTCACGAACGACGCACGCCAAACTATACGATATGGTGGACGTATGTGCGGCTCGTAGTACCCGTACCAGCCCCGGGATCCTGACGTCAGGCCGCAAGGGTCCTCGATGCCGATCGGCGATCCAGTTCCAGTATCGCAATCGAGCAGTGGATCTCCCGTGGAAATCTCATAACAAAAGTAACACACGACAATGGGCAAGCTGCTCGACGGTGCCTGACCGCCGTCCAACTCAGACACACAATTCAACGGCGTTTAGGGTATTCCGCACACCTGGCCTGGCCGTACTATGTCGCCGGAAGCCAACGGCAAGAAACACACCGAACGTCGTTGCCAACTTGACGTTTCGCGCGCAGATCAAGCCAGACGCACTCAGTGGAAAGAGGTGGTAAGAGCCGTAAGAGCTAAGAGAAGAAGCACTGAAGCAGGTGATTCCCGCCTTTTTACGTTCGATTCGTAAGCTCGATTAGCGAGCCAATCCGATCCGCGGGAAGATGAACATGTTTATCGATGGAAGACGATTCCTTTTCCCGCGCATATAAACAAGATAATCTACGCCAGTGACATCGATCAGTCTTTCTAGTGATATACAATCTTTTTTTAAAATGATCAAGGATCATTTTTAGATATAGACAAAATCTTATGGGTGGCATAATGTCTATTTCAGTAGCGTATATATAAATATACGCACGTACATACATTATATATGTGTGTATGCATATTTTATATTAAAGATGTACACACACACACACACACACACACAAAATAAATAGATTTTATTTATGTTCATTTCTACCAATGTAGATTAACTTTAATCTCGATTCAACTTAACTCTTCGTCTTTTTCTAATTTTTAGAATTAAAAAAAAAATAACGGGTATTAAAATTGATCTACATTGGTGGAAATGAGTATTAATTTATGTTATAATGATGTATATGACAATAAATGAGTATTAACTTACTTGTAAAATTTACTATATATATTATTATAATATGTACATAAAATAAATCGATAAAAATGATTTATCTTAATATAATTTTATTATTGAAATTAAGATAAAGTTTTGTTATCTATTTATTCTAAGTTATTCGATCATTTTGATGATTGTTTTTACAGTGTTATACTTCATGTAAAAATAACTATTTCATATAAAAATAACACAGTGCTATACTTCATGTAAAAATATCTTTAGAATTAATTTTAAATTTTATCTCATCAATGAGAAAATAAACAAGATAATTTATAAAAATCTAATATTTTAAAAATATGTCAATAATATTTTAAAAGCAAGTACAAGGTCTGACTATGAATACAGGTAATAATCAGTAATCAGACTTTGTACTTAAGGCTTCCTTAAATTTATCTTTAGATGCTCAGTAACCAATGAAATAATTCATAAAGTATCTGAAGATAAATTTAAGGAAGCCTTAAATACAGGGCCAATTTCACCAATGCCAATCAAGGTTAATCGTGACTAACTGTCAACCGCAATTGATCGATTCTACTAAACAGCAAACGCGATTGGTCAGTCAACGGCCGATTAAGCTAACTGGCGTTGGTGAAACTGGCCCATAAGGTCTGACTATGAATACGAGCATTAGGTATCTAATCGATCTCTGATTGGTCGGATTTTGAGTCCCTTTAAACGCTGCCATTTGCAGATACTTTTGATGGGTAGTGAATCTGTGAATTGGTGTGAGCAATTGTTTTGTAGTGTAGAAGGCACGAACGCGAAGTAAGCTGTCAACCATGGTGGAATTGTGCTGTTTCCGGCCATCCGGCAATGGCGTCTTTCCGGTCTTATATCTTAATTCTTACTAGAGGAACCTGAGGAACTCTATATGTGATGTGGCCATAGTGTGTAGCGCGTGCTACTTTTCATCAGTCCGACTGAGTTACTTAACCTGAGTAGTCGGTAACTTTAACGATTAATATTTTAGTTCATGACAGAGCGACGTTCTACCAGACTCGGTTGTTTCGTGCAAAAACGCATCAAATGAGTCTAATATCGAATATAAGGGAGCTAAACGAGTTAAATTTAACAATTACTTAATTTAATAAAAAATACAGAATTGTTAAAAATGGTAAGTACAAATGATATTTTCAAATTTCGTTGCAATAGCGACTTATTTTGAGCTAAAATATCTAATTTTCTTTACTTAACATCTTGCGCCGAGACTAGCAACGTGTTGATACGTAAACGACGCAATTTAATGTTTTACGCAAATAATGCGATTTTTAGAACTCAAATTCGAAATAAATTTTTTTCAAAACGTAATATTAACTCCTTTTGCACGTTTTAGTTAGAATTGTTTTATGGATAATTGCATATTTATTTACGAATCTTGACGCTAACCTCCAATTAAGTTGCACGTGGCGGGTGATATTCATTTATTTTAAAAATGAAATAATACAATAATGAAACAATGATAACAATCATAGCTTACAGAACATAGAGATTAAGGCAGAATAAAAATGCTTAGAATTTATATTGAAATTAAAAGACAATCGAAATATTTGTACTTACAAAATTGCTTATTTTACAGCCGAAACTTTTCATTCTATTTGAGCACGCTGCTGGATACGCCATATTTCGCGTTAAAGAATTTGAAGAAATTGGAATGCTGTTACCTCAAGTGGAAGAATCCGTAACAGATCTATCACGTTTCCGTAGTGTCGTAAGCCTTGAAGGATATTTACCTTTCAAGACATCATTCGTTGCTCTGGATAATATCAATAGTGTTTCTGAAGGAATTATGACAGATGACCTAAAGCTCTTCCTAGATTCCAACTTTGGTGAATTTGCCAAATCAGATATTGTTCTTGGTGTCGCAGATCCCAAACTTGGTGCAAATATCAGTGAAATCTTGGGTATCAAGTGCGATCATGTCAATGTTGTTCCTGAAATTATAAGGGGAATAAGATTCCACTTTCACAATCTGGTGAAAGGTTTTACATCTCGGAGCTCTGTGGATACACAACTAGGTCTTGGACACAGTTACTCGAGAGCAAAAGTTAAATTCAATGTGAATCGAGTAGACAACATGATCATTCAGAGTATAGCCTTACTTGATCAACTTGACAAAGATATCAACACATTTAGCATGCGTATGCGGTATGTATAATATATTCCTTAAATATATTGAAAATAAAATAGAAGATACTTAAAGATAACTTTTTCATTTTGATTTTAGCGAATGGTACAGTTATCATTACCCAGAACTTGCAAAAATAGTTCCAGAAAATTATACATACGCGAAAGTTGCACAAGTAATAAAAGACAGAAAGCAACTAACGGATGACAAAATGAAAATGTTAGAAGAAGTTGTCATGGACAGTTCAAGAGCAGAGGCTATTATCAACGCAGCCAAGTCATCCATGGGAATGGACATAAGTCCAGTTGATTTAATGAACGTTGAGATTTTTGCTGGTCGCGTTGTTGCATTGGTGGATTATAGGAAAAAGATGGCCGATTATTTAACGCAAAAAATGGCAGGAGTAGCACCAAATTTAGCTACTTTAATTGGAGATCAAGTCGGCGCCAGATTAATAGCACATGCTGGTTCGCTTACTAATTTAGCGAAGGCACCAGCATCTACTGTTCAAATATTGGGAGCGGAAAAAGCCTTGTTTAGAGCATTGAAAAGTCGTGGAAAGTCGAATACTCCGAAATATGGACTCTTGTTCCATTCTACATTTATTGGTCGCGCTGGCACTAAAAATAAGGGTAGAATTGCAAGATACCTAGCAAATAAATGTTCCATTGCTTCTAGAATTGATTGTTTCGCGGAAATACCAACGAAGATATTTGGTGAAAAATTACGACAACAGGTAGAAGACAGACTAGACTTCTTCACAACTGGCAAGGAACCGAAAAAAAATCTGGACGTAATGAAAGAAGCACTAGAGGAAACGGCACATATGTTGGCAGCTCAAGAAAAAGAAGCTAAGAAGAAAAAGAAACATGATAAAAAAAGAAAACATGTTCTCGAAAATGGTCAAGAGAATGGACATATTGAAAACGACGAAGTAAATACGTCATTACAGAAAAAGAAAAAAAAGAAAAAATCGAAACAGATTGATGAATAAAGAAAGATCGTCTTCTATACATGTATGTTTTATAACTGAAATGGATTAAAATATACTTCTTATATTTAAATTTGTGTTTGGAAATATTCTGAAAAATTTTTACTTAGCAATTAATAATTATTTTCTTCTTTGTATCAACATAAACTTATATCTATCAAAGTTATAAATAATTATGTCTATTATTATTAGCATTGATTCGTTCTGTATCCTCTGTAAATTTATACATTATAAGTGTAAAACATTTACAGTATCTTTCTACAATGATACAAGAAAATACAAACAAAAATATAAAAATTTTAATTTTTTTTTAATATAACATTGTGTTTTGCATTGGAGAGACGTATACATTTTATGTATCAAAGGAAATCTTACACATAAAACTGGGATTACGTACAGCGAACTTAATTACTAGAGATAATGAATGACCAATTGTGTAAATTATATTCTAAGAAAATAATAAAACGACAAAAATTACAAACGTAAAACAGAAGAAATTTAATGATTCTTATTTTTGCTGTTTTTCCTATTTATATTTGAGGAACAGGAAGAGAGGTAATTATAATAAAAAAAAGTAAATGGACATTCATAATATTATGTGTTAATACCAGCACCAATTAGCATTTAATAACGAATAAGTATGCAAAATATAGATATAAATATCTAAACAATAATTATACAATAAAATTATTGGTTTTAGCGAAGTCTCAAGGTCTCAAAAATCAACTGAGCTATTTAAATCGGATCACATAAATACTATAAGCAATGTATCCTGCCATGATTCACACTGGAGAATTAATAATCGTTGATTGGATCAAATATAAATTTTATATGAATTTGTATTTTTTACACATCAAATT